ATTAAATGATACAAATATCATTTTCAAAACACCAAAAAGTGAACATATTTAACCATTCTCAGCTCATAACAGCAAGTGCACGAGGGAGCAGTAATGCATGTTGTAGCATGTTTAATAAACCTGCAACAGAGAAAGTTGGTTAAAAAAAGCAGAGAAACTTTGTCTTTTAAGTATTAGAACCCGGGGGCTCCATAAGCATCTGCATCTGCTCAGTGTTGCACCTATGGTTACACATGACATGATGGGAACTCCAGGGATCTTCCTGATTCTTCGTTTAAGATCCCCATCAACTGTGGCCACAATATAACACTCGTGCTGAGTTACTCTCTGTACTAAGCAGTCATCTGCATAGGTTCCTTTGTGTGGGCATGGCAATCGTTCAAATATTGGATCCTTGGAGATCCTTAGAGCCACTCGATACTTCTGCCCCAATTTCTCAATTTCAGCCATTACAGTCAGTTATACAAGGGATACACCTGGCATAGAGACATCCATTATTGATTGCACTGAGTCCAGTTTGGTCTTACTGGAAAAGTTGATAAAGTTGGTATCCAGCAGGATGTGGTAAGGTGGGCCCAGGTGAAGAATACACAGGAGGGGTGAGGGGGCACTTCTCTTTCTTTGAGTGCACTGGGATCTCTCTTTTCTTTCTCTTTAGGTTTTAATCTATCCTTTTCTTTAAGCCTCTGATCTCTGAGACTAAGCATTCGCTTCATGGTGACATACTTCCTTGTTTTCTTTTGCTTCCCTATGTTCATGCCGCACTCCTGTTTCTTCCCCCATTTTGCTCTTGTTGCCTTTTTCATTTAGTCATTCTGGAGAGAAGTAGTGTTATTGCATTGTGAGGTTTTTAAAAATATATTTTTATTGATTTCAGAGAAAAAGGGAGGAGATAGAAACATCAATGATGAGAGAGAATTGTTGATTGGCTGCCTCCCATACGGCCCCTACTTGGGACTGAGCCCGCAACCGGGGCATGTGCCCTTGACTGGAATCAAACTCAGGACCCTTCGCTCCATAGGCCGACACTCTGTCCACTAAGCTAAACTGCCTAGGGCTGCATTGTGGTTTTAATTAAAATGTCTCTGATGACTAATGAAGTTGAGTACTTTTTCATAGATTTATTGGCCATTCGAATATCATCTTTCATGAACTGTCTCTCAGAATCGTTTGCTCATTTTTCCACTGTGTTTTCTTTAATTGATTTGTAGAAATTATTCACCTATTTTCATATTGGTCTTTTGTTGTCTATACATTTTGTGAATATTTTTCCCCACTCTATGGTTTACCTAATTTACTTTCAAACTATATTACACAGATAAGAGCAAGAATCAAAATATACACCCTCTATAATAAACACATCAAATATAAAGCCATATTTAAGTTAAAAATAAAGGATGCAAGAAGACAAACTATGAGAACACTAATAAAAAGAAAGCAGAGGAGCTAGCTATGTTAATATCAGACAAATTAGACTTGACAATAAGGAATATTATCAGGGATAAAGAGGGACATAATGATAAAGAAATCAACTCATGGCCCTAGCCGGTTTGGCTTAGTGGATAGAGTCTCAGCCTGCGGACCGAAGGGTCCCAGGTTTGAATCCCATCAAAGCCATGTACCTTGGTTGCAGGCTCCTCCCTTGCCCAGGCCCTGGTTCGGGCGCAGGCAGAAGGCAACCAATTGCTGTGTTTCTCTCACATCGATGTTTCTCTGTCTTTCCCTCTCTTCCAATCTCTCTAAAAATCAATGGAAAAATATCCTCAGGTGAGGATTAAAAGAAAAAAATAGAACAAAGAAATCAACTAAGTAAGAAGATATAATAGTCCTAAATATTCTTGCATCGAACACAGCTTCAAAATCATATAACAAAACTTACAGAACAAAAAGGCAAAATAGGTAAATTCACAATTATCATTTAGAGATTTCAACATTCCTGTCTCAGTAATTGATAAAATAAGTGTATAGAAAATTAACAAAGATATAAAGACCCGATCACACTGTCAACAAATTTGACCTAATTGACATTATAGAACATTCCACCCAACAACAGAAGACCAACATTCCTTTTTTTAAGTTTTATTAATTTTATAGAGGAAGAGAGAGAGAGAGAGAGAGAGAGAGAGAGAGAGAGAGAGAGAGATGTGTTGTTCCACTTATTTATGCATTCATTAGTTGCGTCTTGTATGTGCCCTCACTAAAGATCGAACCTTCAACTTTTGCCCATTGGGATGGTTGGCAAACTCATTAATCAACAGAGCCAAATATCAACAGTACAACAATTGAAATTTCTTTTGAGAGCCAAATTTTTTAAACTTAAATTATATAGGTAGGTACACTGTTATTAACTTAATTAGGGTACTCCTAAGCTGGCCTTTGTTAAAAACGTCTTCAATCTGATTGAGGTACGTTCACTGAGGTCGACCCCTTCCAACTCTCCCATCCACACTCGTCTTGTATACTTGTTTCGTCTATCTCCTTTCCAAAAACCGACTTCTGCGCATGGGCCACAAAGTTTCAACCGCACTGTATGTGCGCGCCAGCACTTGGTATTTTGTGGAAGAGCCACACTCAAGGGGCCAAAGAGCCGCATGTGGCTCTCGAGCCGCGGTTTGCAGACCACTGCTCTAACCTATTGAGCTACCTGGCCAGGGGAAACCAACATTCTTTTCAAGGATACATGGAACATTCATCAGGCCAGCCCGTGTGGGTCGTGGTTGAGTGTTGACCTATGTAGAGTTTGATTCCCGGTCGGGGCTCACACCCAGGTTGCAGGTTCAATTTCCAGTATGGGGCATGCAGGAGGCAGCCGATTAATGATTCTCTCATCATTGATGTTTATCTCTTCCTTTCCATTCCTCTCTGAAGTCAATAAAAATAAAGGTTGTCCCTAAATTCACACAAGAAGTAATTTTGATAGAAAACACAGGTTTATAATTAAAAATTGTAAATTTTTTATTGATTTATAAAGTATATAGTATAGGGTAATGTATGGAATAGCATATCAGGTAAATGGCCTCCACAGCTTTGCTGGCACATATGCACTCTTTTGTTGAAATTTTCCATGACCGTTTTTGCATAAATGTGGCTGAATTTCATTGATACAGCGCTCAGTTTCCTCCTTCAAGGCGTGGGTGGTCGTGGGCTTGTTGGCATAAACCTTAGACTTCAAAAAACCCCAAAGAAAAAAGTCCAACGGCGTTATCGCATGATCTGGGCAGCCAATTCTGATCACCAAAACGGGAAATTACACGACCAGGAAATGACTCATGCAGTAATTGACTTGTTTCTCGGGCTGTATGGCATGTGGCACCGTCTTGTTGAAAGCACATGTCGTCCACATCCATATCTTGCAATTTAGGCACAAAAAACTGGATTACCATGTCGCGATAGTGAGCACCATTAACTGTTATTGTCTGAGCAGCCGCATTTCGGTCATGGAAAATTTCAACGAAAGAGTGCATATGTGCCAGCAAAGCCGTGGAGGCCATTTACCCGATATGCTATTCCATACATAACCCTATACTATATACTTTATGAATCAATAAAAAATTTACAATTTTTAATTATAAACCTGTGTTTTCTATCAAAATTACTTCTTGCGTGAATTTTGGGACACACTTTATATATTTTTAAAAAGATAGATCCAGGTGGCATAGCTGGAATAAATGGGACTAGGGGGGAAAAAAAGGTAGATCATATTCTGGGCCATAAAACAAGCCTCAACAAAGTTAAAAGAATTGACATGATCAAAAGTGTGTTCTCCAGCCACAACTAAAAATAATTAGAAATCAATAATGGAACAAGATCTGAAATATCTCCCAAATATTTGCAAATTAAACAACATGATTCTAAATAACATAGGGTCAAAGAGGAAATCACAAGGGAAATTAGAAAATACTTTTACTTGAATAAAAATAAAAACACCACATATCAAAATTTGTGGGTCACAGCCCTGGCCGGTGTGGCTTACTTGGTTGGGCATTGTTCTGTGCACCGAAAGGTTTCTGGTTCTATGCTTGGTCAATGTTATGCCCAGATTCCAAGATCCCCAAAGACCAGACTAGGAGCCAGTTTGATGCAAAAGCAGAAGGTCCTTTTATTGGGGGCGCCAACCCGACTCTGCTCCCGGCCAGCCCACCGACCAGAACAGAGTGCCCCCCCGTGGGAAAAAACCGGCTTTAATAGGGGGGGTGTAGCGAGGGGATTGTGGACCCTGCCGATTGGCCAGGCGCAAGCCGGGTCTTGTTACACAGGATGTGGTCATATCTACGGCGCGCACTTCCCTTGATTGTCATTGGTTAGTTTAAAATCCCGGGTGTGGCCAGCAGGGGCCTGAGCTTCCGGGAAGAAGGCCACACGTGGCCCCAACATGGAGGATACAGGCAAGATGGAGGGGAGGGCATAGCCCTCGCCCTTTCAGTCAAGGCACATGTGTGGGTTAAGACTGTATCCCTGGCAGGGGGCATGCAGGAGGCAGTCAATAGATGTTTCTCTCTCTCATCCATTATTTCTTGCTCCCTTCCTTCTCTCTCTAAAAATCAATTTTAAAAATATTTAGCCCTAGCAGGTTTGGCTCAGCGGGTAGAGTGTCAGCCTGCGAACTGAAAGGTCCCAGGTTGGATTCCGGTCAAGGGCACATGCCCAGGTTGTGGGCTCGATCCTCAGTAGGGGACTTGCAGGAGGCAGCCGATCCATGATTCTCTCTCATCATGGATGTTTCTATCTCTCTCTACCTCTTCCTTCCTCTCTGAAATCAATATATATATATATATATATATATATATACTTTAAAAATATTTAAAGTCCAGCCGGTATGGCTCAGTGGTTGAGTGTTAATCCATGCAAATTTGCTGTTTCTCATCCATGTTTCTATCTCTCCCCTTCTCTCTAAAATCAATAAAAACATATTTTTTAAAAACCTTTTTTAAAATTGTGGAACATAGCCAAAGCTGTGCTTAAATGAAAATTTAAACATTTAATTAGTGTTAACGTAAAAACATTCAAACCTGTAAAGAATTTTTGTGAGGAAGAGACATAGGAAGGTTACATGAAATCCACTGGTGATAGATTAGAGAGGCCAGAGAAAGCAAAGGAATTTGGTTGTGCCCTCAGGGTCTGCGAAAAAGGGAAGTTATACGTTACCCTGACATTTCAATATGTTATCATAGATGCAAAAAGACAATAAGCTCAGTTAAAGTAAAGATTGACCTTGTCAGGGAGGACACCAGCCTAGGAAGTAACTACCCACCATAACTGCTTTTAGTTAAAGTTTAATTTTAGACCATCTTTTGTGGTTACTTTAAGTCTTTGAGTTTGCAAGACCGCCATGCAGGTCTTCCCTGAGCTTGACTGGTTAGCATGTGACCCTGTTCGTCCACACTAGAAAACAAGAAAAAATTTAAATCAGTAATCTCATCCTCAACCTTAAGAAATCAGAAAAAAAGGGCAAATTAAATCCAAAGCAAACAAGGAAGGAAATAAGAACGATTAGAGCAGAAAACTATGAAGTTCAGAACAAAAACAGTAGAGAAACACCAGTGAAACCAAGAGCAGGTTTTTTTAAAAAAATCACCATTAAAATAAATAAACCTCTAGACCAGCGGTTCTCAACCTGTGGGTCGCAACCCCTTTGGGGGTCAAATTACCCTTTCACAGGGGTCGCCTAAGACCATCGGAAAACACATATATAATTACATATTGTTTTTGTGATTAATCACTATGCTTTAATTATGTTCAATTTGTAACAATGAAATTGGGGGTCACCACAACATGAGGAACTGTATTAAAGGGTTGCGGCATTAGGAAGGTTGAGAACCACTGCTCTAGACAGACACAATAAGAAAAATTCTGCCTTGGGACTTTCCACTGCCGCTCCCTCTGCCTGAAATGCTTTGGTTCATTTTCCTACCTTCCCGCCTCCCGGAGCCCTTTCCAGGCCACTCCACCAAGCAGCTCACTGTCCTCCTACCCTTTGTATCTTTCTCTCTCCTGCTGTTTCGTATCACTCATTTTTCATATCTGTCATTTTTTATGTCTGAAGCAATACATTGACTCTATGGACCTGTAGATTGTAATCGGCTAACAGCTTTCTCCTTTCCCCCCATTTCCCCTGGAATCAGCTCTATGGGCTACAAGTAGTTCTTTAGCCTCTCATGCACGCAGGAAGGTCTCAGAGTGTTATCTGCAATCTCTGGTATAAAGAGTCCTCCAGGAAAGAATGAAAGTATTTAGTTTTGCCCTGGCCAGTGTTGCTAGTGGTTAGAGTATCAGCCTGCACACTGAAGGGTCAAGGGTTCAATTCCTGGTCAAGGGCACGTACCCCAGTTGCAGGTTCCATCCCAGCCCAATCAGGGCGCGTGCAGGAGGCAACTAATCAACATGTCTCTCATCCATATTTCTCTCTTTCTCTCTTATCCTCTTTTCCTCCCTCCCTCCCTCCCTCCTTCCCTCCTTCTCTCCCTATCTCTCTAAAAATCAATGGAAAAAATATCCTTGGGTGAGGATTAACAACAACAACAAAATTTAGTTTAAGAAAGAAATTAAGTCCTCCAGTCCTGGCCAAGTGGCTTCGTTGGTTGGAGTGTGGTCCCCTGCACCAAAAGGATTCCCAGTCCGGGCACATACATAGAATTCATGTTCAACCCCTGTTCTGGGCATGCAGGAGGCAGCCAACCGAAGATTCTCTCTCATCATTGATGTTTCTAATGCTTTCTCCCTCTCTGATTTTCTCTCTAAAATCAATACAAATATATCCTATATAATAAAAGGGTAATATGCAAATCGACCCTAACAGCAGAATGACTGGGAATGACTGGTCACTATGACACACACTGACCACCAGGGGGCAGACGCTCAATGCAGGAGCTGCCCCCTGGTGGTCAGTGCGCTCCCACAGGGGGAGCTCTGCTCAGTCACAAGCCAGGCTGCCGGCTGCCAATACAGCGGTGGTGGTGGTGGGAGCCTCTCCCGCCTCCTCAGCAGCGCTAAGGATGTCCAACTGCAGCTTAGGCCTGCTCCCCGCTGACAAGTGGGCATCCCCCGAGGGTTCCCGGGCTGCCAGAGGGATGTCTGACTGCCAGCTTAGGCCCAATCCCCCCAGGGAGCGGGCCTAAGCCAGCAGGTGGTTATCCCCCGAGGGGTCCCAGACTGTGAGAGGGCACAGGCCGGGCTGAGGGACCCCCCCCCCCCCGGGCCCCAAGGGCACAAATTTTTGTGCACTGGGCCTCTAGTATATATATATTTAAAAGTCCTCCAAACTAATTATAAATTCAGTTTCTTCTCTCAGCCAGCTACGACTGGCTTGACACAGACAGCTGGGAAGCAGGGCAGTCTGGCTGGCTTCTTAGAGCATTTCTTTCCAGCCCCCCTCAGAGCCCTGTCCTTCACCTGGGAACCAGATGCAGGGAAGTAAGAGGAGGGTACGCTCAACCAGCACAGAACAGACGTGGTCTGGGGCCTCTGGCTGTGGCTGGTGTTCTGATTGGTTTTTGCTCTTGTGGAATGTTTGTGGGTCTGTATAGCCCGCAATTACTGGCTCTCTCTCACCTGCACTCTGTATCCCAAACCTTGCATTTGTCTGCAAGTGGAATTGGCTCTAATTCTCCACCACTTCTGGTAATCCCAGCCCCTTGCAATGTGCCTCGGCAGCTACTCCATCCAAAGGTGGAGTTTGTTCCTAAACTCTTGAATCTGGGTTGGCCTGGTGACTCCCTTAGAACAGGGTAGAAACAGTCGTGTGCCCCAACCTCAGGACACCTTGCATGCTCCGCTCTCAGTCCTGGAGTCCTGCCAGCAAACAAGCTCTCGGCTCTCACCTTGAATGATAAGCCTCCAGTAGATCTCAGTGCAGGTTGACAATCCTGCTACTCTTCCGCAGTCCAGTGGTCTTCAGTCTAGAGTGTGCAGACCCCGGGTTACACAAAGACCTTATAATGCTATGAAGACATGGCCAGTTAGGAAGGTACCTTTCACATCTATTTCTGTATATCCTTTTTCTAAAACTGATATGCCTGAGAACTGTTTGTAGATTCTTATTTCTCTCTTCCCCTTTTGTTACTGAACTCAACGGGTTCGCCACTGGGGTGCTCTATTAAAAAGTGAGAAGCCCCTTGCCCGGCCGGCTGGTTCAGTGATTGACCTATGAAGCAGGAGGTCACGGTTCAATTACCAGTCAGGGCATATGCCTAGAGTTTGGTCTCGATCCCGTGTCGGGGGGCATGCAGAAGGCAGCCAATTGATGATTCTCTCTCATCATTGATGTTTCTAGCTCTCTCTCCCTTCCTCTCTGAAATCAATAAAAAATATATATATATGAGAAGGCTAAAAGCTTAATTCCAATGTAACCCTGAAATTTGGGGGAGGGGGGCCTAGCAATCTGAATCTGTGCCAGTAACCTAATGAACATTCTTAATAACCTATAATTAAGTCACTACCCCTTTCCCAGAATCTGGTCTTGCAAGACCTGTTATCTAAATGCTCACATTTTACAGAAGCCATAAACCATGAACAATACATAAACCCTGGAGGGAGTTATCAGTGCCGGCGCCAGGCCAGGCCCTTAGATATGGCCTCAAGGCCTCCATCCCAACCCACCAGGCTGTTTGCAAAGCCCGTGAAAGGTCCAGAAGTCCTCATCCATATTTGGGGGACAAAAGAAACCAAAGGGGATAAAAGAAGGGCTTCCACCATATTGGTTTGCTCAGACTCTGGAGGCAACTCCTCTGAGACAAATGTCGGCATAATAAAGCTGTGTAACTCCATTTCTCTAAGTGTCTCTTGGGTTTCTTTGGTCTTCTACAACATATATATATTTTTAAATGAGAGGCCCTGCCCTGGCGGCTCAATTGGTTAGAGCAGTGGTTCTCAACCTTCCTAATGCCACAACCTTTAATACAGTTCCTCACGTTGTGGTGACCTCCAATTTCATTGTTACAAATTGAACATAAAGCATAGTGATTAATCACAAAAACAATATGTAATTATATATGTATTTTCCGATGCTCTTAGGCGACCCCTGTGAAAGGGTCATTCGACCCCCAAAGAGGTCGCGACCCACAGATTGAGAACCTCGGGGTTAGAGTATCATCACAATACAGCAAGGTTGTAGGTTCAACCCCTGGTCAGGGCACATATAAGTATCAGCCAATGAATGTATAAATAAGTGGAACAACAAATCAATCTCTCTCTCTTTCACCCCCACTTCTTCCCTCTCTAAAATCAATTTTTAAAGAAGATAAAAAGACATGTGGTTGTCGAGAGGTAGTTTTATTTATTGCTGGGAGTAAAGAAGACGGGATTCATATCCAAAGCTCTGCCTCCCAGAAGGGAGACTTAGTCACTGCTTATATACACTATTTGGTCAATTACATGTTGATTTCTTCTTTGCAATTGGCAACACTTATCAGGCTGGCTTCCTGTCAAGGTTATTCTGTTTACAGCTGGCCTGCAAAATACTGTACTACATTTTAACATTTAGCAAGAAGAGTGTTTAGTAAGAACCGTCCAGACCTTGAGATCCTTGTCCTATCTAACACTTTTCTATTGTCCACTTGTCATTCTCCCAAGGTAGGGAAATGTAAAAACATCTAGGCTGCCAAACCAAAGTACAACTTAAAATTTTTTTTATTGATTTCAGAGAGGAAGGGAGAGGGAGAGATAGAAACATCAACGATGAGAATCATTGATCAGCTGCCTCTAATAATTGACTAATGAGTCCTTTAGCAAGTCAAGAAGTTTCTAATTCTTTGCTCTAAACAAAATTAAAAGAGAATCTAATTGATTTGTCAGCTTGAATATCATTACAGATCATTTTAATGGTGGCTCATTATGTGATTTTTGGCATATAATTCAGGAGGAGTTCAACGAAGTGTGTACCATTGCTGTAATAAAAGGATTTCCACTCCTATTTACTTATTTTTTTAAAGATTGTGTGTCTATGACTGAGCTGAAACAGAGCAGACCAGCGCAGCACAAAGCAGACCAGCAAGGAAGAGTAAACCAACTGAGGAGCAGAGCAGAACTGTCCAGCTGGAGAGGAGCCGCCTGACCCCAGGGCTGCCTCACAGCTGTTCTGTATCACAATTGAGCTATTTTGCAATGAGTAAAGTTTCCTTCTTCAAACTCCCCCCCCCCCAATATATATATATATATATATATATTTTTCAGTGAGGAAGGGAGAGAGAGAGAGAGATAGAAACATCAATGATGAGAGAGAATCATTGATCGGCTGCCTCCTGCACACCCCACACTGGTGATCGAGCCCACAACCTGGGAATGTGCCATGACTGGGAATCGAACCATGATTGGGTGGTTCATAGGTTGATGTTCAACCACTGAGACACACCAGCTGGGCACACCTGTTTCTTCTTAATAAGAGCTATCTCAATCTAATGGCCTCTTTGTTTAATTAATTTAACAAAACTAGTAATTATTAGTTTGGGCCCTGATCCAGGTTTTTTAGACTTGTAATGTGAATTCCTGTGGCAGCAGGGATGATAATAAGTGTTGACTCTAAACAAAATTGGCTCTGGCTGGCTTGGCTCAGTAGTTACGAGCATCAACCTATGGACTGAAGGGGCTTGGGTTTGATTCCTGGTCAAGAGCATGTATCTTGGTTACAGATTCCCCAGCCCCTGTAGGGGCACATGCGGGAGGCAACCAATTGATGTGTCTCTCACACACTGATGTTTCTCTCCTCTTTTTCATCCCTTCCATTCTCTCTAGAAATCAATGGAAAAAATATCTTCAAGTGAGGATTTAAAAAAAATTGTTACATCCTTTGTACTGTTTGGGGTCAACAAAATCTACCCAAGTAAACAAGGTCCTCCTATTAAGGTCAAAATAAAGTTTAGCTAAGAGACCCTAAAGGCTCCAGGTACAAAGACCACTACCACACACACCCATTCCTTGCCTGTCCACCACCACCACCACTTATCCAGGAGCCGTAGGTCTCCACCAGGGCTTTGGTTCCCTCATGAATCTTCAGGCAGTATCGTCCAGAAAAAGCCTTCCACCCTTGCTCTATAACCTCTTGAAGAACATTTTCGACCAGCAACTCAGACCAGGACCTCTTCCTTATTATTGCCCCAACTGGTAAGTCCCAATCATACACTCTCACCCTGCTGACCAATCAGGGTCTTTCTTTCATCTTCATCTTTTGTATGTATGTATGTATGTATGTATGTATGTATTTACTTATTTATTTATATACCTCACCTTGCGCTCCTGCAACTCTTGTTCCCACCAGCCTCAGTAAGAGAATTCCACCCTGCCTGGCCAGTATGGCTCACTCAGTTGGTTGAGCATCCTCCCATGCACCAAGAGGTCACCAGTTTGATTCCGGGTTAGGGCACATACCTGGGTTGTGGGCTTGATACCCAGTAGGGGGCATGCAGGAGGCAGCTGATCGATGTTTCTCTCTCCCTCTCCCTTGCTCTTTCTAAAAATCAATATAAACGTATTTTTTAAAAGAGAGGGAGTCCCACCCAGGTGCACTCTCCCTCCCAGGAGCATGCCTGCACCTTTCCCTTCCCCTTCTTCTTCCCCCACAGGCGTGCATCTCCTAAACTCTAAGGGTCCCCCAGAGACTTGCAACTAGGGGAGCAATGGGCAGGGCAGCTCATCCTAGAATAACCCCCTGAACCTGTCTCCAAGGCCCCCTTTTCTCTGATTTCCCAGTGAGCTAACAGCAGCCCCACCTCAGCTCATTTCTTTCCTACATTTCTAGAGAGCCAGAGCAGCCCCGCCCGGCTCTCCTGTTGCTTCTTCTATTCTTCTACCCTAAGCCCTTCCCTGTTTCACTGTCCCCAGCCAGGCAGGTGCAGGACTTTAAGCCACCACGCCCCTTAATCCTGGCATTGCTGAGCAAAGGCATCCATTCCAGCCTCCCGGATCCAGCTGTCAGACTGTCCGTTAGGATGGCAGAGGAGGAGGGTTATGTGGGTGAAGAGGATGTGTTCCTGGCTTTTGCCCAGGGTCCTTCTCCTCCCAGGGGTCCCCTACGTCAGGCCTTGGACAAGGCCTTCTTTATATTCCTGGCCCTCTTTCTGACACTACTGATGCTGGAGGCTCTTTATAAACTCCTGTGGCCGCTGCCATGGGCAAAATTTGGGGAATGGCTCCTGGGAACACCTCAGAAGGAAGATGAGCTGGAATTGTGACTACCTTTTGTATAAACATCCTCTTACCCTGGTAAGGAGGTGAGAGGGGAGATGGGGGGAGGGGAGTGGGGCTGTTGGGGACTGTGGAGGGGACACTTGGATAGTTTAGAGCAGCTATCTAAAATTTCTGCACCTATACTCCAGGAAACAATTTTGAAAAAGTTTGTACTTTTCACATATTTTTAAGTAAGCATCTAAAAATTTTCATCAATTGAAATTGTTTCAAAGATGTAATTCCTGGCATATTGAAAATATTCACACTTTAGCCCTAGCTATTTTGCTCAGTGGTTAGAGCATTGGCCCTCAGACTGAGGGTTTCTGGTTCCCTTCTGGCACATTCCTGGGTTGCAGGATGGAGCATGTGCGGGGTGCAGCCAATTGATGTGTTTCTCACATCGATGTCTCTCTCTGTCTCCCTCCCTCCTTCCCTTCTTCCTTCCCTCCCTCCCTTCCATTCTCACTTAAAAATCAATGGGGGGAAAATATCCTCTGGTGAGGATTAACAACAAAAAGAAAATATTCACATCTATACTAATAAAAGGGTAATATGCTAATTAGACCGGCTAGACCGGATGTCTTTTGGATGTCATTCTGGACATCCTTCCTGACAAAGCTGGGGCCCGGGTGAAGCCGCCCGGGGTCCCGGGTGCCTGCAGCCGGCCAGAGGGAGGGAAGCCAGGTCCCAGGTGCCTGGGGCCAGCCAGAGGGAGGGAAGCCCAGGTTTCAGGTGCCTGTGGCCGGCCAGAAGAGAGAAGCCTGGGTCCTGGGTGCGGGGGCGGAGGCAGAGGTGATTAGGGGTGATCAGGCAGGCAGGCAAGCAATTAGGGGCAATCAGGCAGGCAGGCAGAGGCAATTAGGGGTGATTAGGCAGGCAGGCAGGCAGGTGAGCGGTTAGGAGCCAGCGGTCCTGGATTGTGAGGGGTGAGGGACCCCACCATCCCTGCACAAATTTTGTGCACCAGGCCTCTAGTTTTTAAATAAGACAAATCACTCTTTTGAATGTCCAGAGGAATTAAAATATCAGAATTGAAACATTAAAAATTAGAGGCCCGGTGCACGAAATTTGTGCAGAGGGGTGGGGGGGGGGCAGTGTCCCTCAGCCCAGCCTGCACCCTCTCCAATCATGGACATCCCTCTCATTGCCTCCTAACTGCTCCACTGCCGGCCTGATGGCCCCCAACTGCCCTCCCCTGCCACAACCCTCCTCCTCCACCGGGTCCTGCCTCCGCTGTGCTTGCGGCCATGATGTGTGAGGGTATGTCGACCACCTAGGCCAGTGGTTCTCAACCTTCTGGCCCTTTAAATACAGTTCCTCATGTTGTGACCCAACCATAAAATTATTTCATTGCTACTTCATAACTGTAATGTTGCTACTGTTATGAATCGTCATGTAAATATCTGATATGCAGGATGGTCTTAGGCGACCCCTGTGAAAGGGTCGTTCGACCGCCAAAGGGGTCCCGACCCACAGGTTGAGAACTGCTGACCTAGGCTATTATTAGTATAGATACATAAGTAAGGCCCTATCTGGTTTGGGTCAGTGGATAGAGCATCGGGCTGCAGACTGAAGGGTGCCAGGTTTGACTCCCAGGCAGGACACATGCCCGGGTTGCGGGCTTGATCCCCAGTGTGGGCATGCAGGAGGCCGCCAATCAATGATTCTCTCTCATCACTGATGTTTCTATCTCTCTCTCCCTCTCCCTTCCTCTCTGAAATTTGAAAGAGAAAAAAAATCGTTTGACTTAAAAAAAAAAAGCTCTTGACAATTGGGAATCATTATTTTTCTTCTTTTTCTCTTTATACTCCTACTAACATTCCACTTCTCCAGAGACAATTTTATGCTTTTATACTTGAACGTCTCTGATGAAAAATATTTTTCTTTCTTGTGACCAAAATTCTAGTTTTAAAAAAAATTTCTTCAGGGTTACCATTACAACTGTAATGACAGCATACCTAATCAAATAGCATGAAAATTGTACACAATTTTATAATTGTTAAAAATTTTAAAATACATTTTTAATGAATAGATGAGGTGGTGTTTATGGTGCCTACATATCTGTTTAAGACAAGGTAAGATTATCTCCAAGAGATTTCATGGTTGAGAACTGTACTTTTCTTTCTTAAAAGGGAGAAAGTCTATTGTAAAAGGGAAAAGGAAAAGAGCCTCTACTGCAGGCATTTACTCAGGAAGACTAATTTGGGGAAAGTTGAGGATCTGAAAATTAAATCCCTTCTCTATCTCCCGAGTCCTCGTGCTGTCTGAGAGCTCATTTTCCTCGATTGGAAGGCGGCAGGCTCGGCTGCCTGGAAGGGAGGGCGTGGTGTTCCTTAACGGAGGTTCCGCCCGAGGGCTTGGAGCGGTTGGAACTCCGGTCTGGAAAGTGACAAGATGCTCACCTCCCGGGAGTGCGCGGCGGTGCTGGAGGCGGGCCTCGCCGCGACGGGACCCGCGCCGCCAGCCTGTCGGGTTCGCCAGGACCTCACCTTCGGACCCCCCTTGCCTCCGAGTCCCTCCAGCCTCCCTCAAACGGCGAGGTGGATGCGGTGAGGCGGGCATCCAGGTCGGCTTCTTCTCTCTTCCTTCTTTCCTCAGCTCCCCCGGAGGGAAGGAGACGGGCCCGAGCCCCGAGGTGTTTTCCGAGGCTCCTCCGTCTTCCGGCCTCCCGCGGCGACTCGCACCGAGCCTCCTCAGAGCGCCCCGTGCCGCCGGTCCCCAGGCGCGGCTGCCGGGCCATCACCGCCTGCGCCTCAGAGACCCTCCGGAAATGGACGGAGAACCCCTACGTCCGCGTACTTGGTTGGTCCTTAGTTCTGTGGTGAAGCTTGAAAAGCAAATCAACAACAGTAGTAACAACAACCCACTGCGGTGACCGTTTGCGTGCACGTGTGTTGCTTTCAGGATTGGGAGCCGTAGAAGCAGCGAGGGGCGCGCAGCCCGCGGAAGGGGCGGGTGGGCGCCGTCGAAGAAGCCGTGGGAGCAGGCACGTGGCGGGTGGGAAAGCAGCTCTGACCGTCGCCCATCGGAAGGAAAAGGTCCTGTTTCCCTCATGAGAGTCTCGGCCTCGGTGCACCCGGCGCGCCTTGGCGGGCCCATTCCCCCGCTGCCCGTCCGTTGCCCCGCCCCTACCTGGAAGGTGGCTCGGCCCGCCCCGCCCCGCACGCGACTCGCTGGCGGTTGGCCCGCCGCAGGAAGTGTCGGATTGGCCGAGTCTCAGGAGCGCTGAGTGGAGAGAGTTCCGCTGGCGGCGCTCTGGAGTCGGGACGAGTCACAGCCGTACGACAAAATGGCGGCCCCAGTCGCTGAGGGGCGCGCGGCGGGAATAAGCCCGCCCCTAGGGGTCAGGCGGAAGGCAAGCCTCACACTATGCGGCCGGCGCTGGAGGCGTTCGGGGGTCGGCTACGGTCACTTCCGGCCGCTGGGGGACTGGGTTCCGTACGACAACATGGCCGCGCTTAGGTGCCTGGAGGGGGAAACTGCGACTTCCGGTCCAGAATAGGGCCTGCGGTGGGAGGGGGAAGGAAAGAGGAGGGGACCATGCGAGCTTCTGCTGTCCGCGCTGAGGGTCGCCCCGAGAGGCCGTTTGTGAGGTGCGGGCCGGTCGGTGCGGGGATCGAAGGCGGGGGCGGGAGTGTCGAGGCAGC